TGTTGTTGTTAAATATCCAGTTTTAAATGTAGAATCTGTTGTATAATCCTGCTGTAAAATTGAATGGTTTCAAATATTAATAAAATTGTGTAAGTTTATTAAGCTTATATTATATATAGTTAAGATAATTAAATTGATTAGGATTACGTTATTATTACTCACTGTTGACGATTATCATTATTTTAATTTGTAACAACACACACCGTTTGTGTTTTATTTATAATTTTATCTTCTTTTATGAATCGTTTCGTGGATTATTTTATTCCACTTATGATATTTATATATCTCAATGTTTAAAATCGTTGGGAGCGATATTACGAAGGGATTACTTTCGTCGTCTAACAATTCTTTAGTCGATCGTTCTCGTTCCTGTTGCTACGGGAGGTCCAAGTTCAACTCGCAACCGACCTGACGTCGGTGTAATCGAGTAAGCTCCCAGTCTCTTTTATCATTGCACCAGTCACAATTTGTCCTCGTGATCCGTCGCCGACTATTAGTTACCGTCTACGCTCGCAAAATTTTAATCTTACGAACGAGGACGAATTCAAACGTATCATTGGCCTCCCGACATCTTCAGATTTTCTTATCCGTATATATTTCTCTCTTGATTGTTTCTTTTTTCTTCTTTTCTTCTTCTTTTTTCTTGTTAATTCATTTTTCAAATACATTCGATTGTTATATCTAAATAGAATAGAAAAATAATTATACAGTATACTTTGAATTACATATATATATGTTCAGGTATCATATGTTCAAGTATATATATATTTATGTATATATATTTGATTTAGAATTCGCAAGAAAAATTAAACGAATTCTTGATAGTTGATTTCTAAGTCGCATAGAATATACAAATTGGACTAAGGCAGTTGTTAACCGGCAACAGTTGACTACACGTGCAATGACTTTTATCATAGTTTAGGTCCTACCGCCGATAGTAACAAGATAATTTTGTCTTTGCAATTGCGCCAATTGTTACTGCAGTTACTATTGATATATTAACAAGATAATTCATTTCACTATCTGAGCATTTATCTAATGCATGCAAATTGCGGAGTGAAGTGCTTAGAATTAAAGCTCCATATCTTCGTTATTGGAGAAAGATAACTTTCCTTCCTATCGAAATATTATCTCAGATCGTAAAGATTGCATATAGAATAATATATACATGGTGAAATTGTAATAATCTATGTGAATAAAATCAAATGTTTGTTTCCTGTTAACGACGCGAGTTGTTTCAAAAAAAGAAATGTGATTGTGGTATAGTAAATAGACAATTATTTTATTTTTAGCATCGTAAATTATATAAGAACAAATATAGCAAGTTAAACAGTCCTTCCGTTTATAAGGTGGCTTACCTATGATATTGAATAATGGAGTGCAGACGTACTGGCAGAAATAGGTCGATCTAATCCCACCGATCTCTTGCAAAGATCCTTTCTAATGGTACTATAATAATTCGTTGTAACTCATACGCAATTACATATATCATACTTCGATCACGAATAAATTTATAACACGCTTAATTAAATTAAATAATATTTTAAAAAATACAAAAAAAAAGGAAATCAAAATTGACCGATGTGAAATTTCGTTTAAAATAAAAATGAAAAAAAAAAAAGGCACGAGTTAAATTTAGACTACAAAGATAAACGAAAGAAGTTGATGAACAAAAAAACATGCAAGACAATCAGCAAAAGAGAGAGTGAAAGAGAAATATAATAGATTTCTTCCTTCTTTCTCGTGACGAGGTCTAAGTTCAAATCTCCATCGACCTGGCGTCGACATAATTGAGAAAACGTACAAATGGATAATTCTCTTATCAATAATATCGTTTTGGAAAACATACTCGTCATTCCCGTCTCATACTTTGATATCGTTTATTTTTATATCAAACTATGATATCGTACTACTGTCAAATCGTACAGTCCTATCGTATTGATAAGAAAAAGAACAAAGTACCAGAAAAAAAATTGCATTCTATTAGGTAGTACATTTCTTTCTCTTCCAGACAATTATTTGATAATATTTTTAACGATTTCAAAACTAATTATGGTATTAATCTTTTACAAATGACGCAGGTTTTTACCAGAAGAACAATTTCAATTATCATCTTTGTTTTTCCTTTTCGTAAATAAATGTTGAAAAGGAAAATTTGATGATGAAGATGTTTTTTGTCTGTTCATCATAATTTATGGGATAAAATTAAAATGCATATTCGATTAAATATTGCAATTACTCGACGTAGTTGATGATATCGATGCCAACTATGATAATAATTTCCTGCCAAGTTTATGCAGCACACTATTCTAGCCATTGACCTTCTTTTTCATTATCAATCCACCTATAACAAAACGTTCTTAACGTTTCTGCGTGTAGTCCTCCCCCGCTGTTTGAAGTTACGCAACGAACGTCTTCGAAGAAGAAGCAGAAGAAGAAGATGAAGAAGAAGAAGAAGACACCACACCACAGACAACCTAAAAGGAAACACAAGAAAATAATCGTTTTGTGGCTCTCAGCAAAAAAAAAAAATTACGCCCACGACACGACTTATACACAAAAAAGGCGCACACCATCATAAAACCGTAATAGAATTCAATCCGATTACGTATCTTTTTATTTTAGTCTCTAACAAACAAATTATTTCCCCAAAAATAATTCTATCCTTCTGATTCATCCAATCCAAATGATAATATGATCCTTCGTCGATTTTAGAACTCGCTAACGGATACATAAGTATAAAAATAGGTATGGTTTTAGATGGGGGTTGGGGTGGGGGATATAAAAAAATAATCATGGAACCCTTATAATAAATCTCGTTGAATATTTGCAGGAATAAGAGAGTTTTTACATAACTCGCATATCATTTTGGTCTAATTCTAATAATTTATCATCCCTAATATCTTAGGGGGCCTCCTCATCGAGATATCAGTTTATGAACAAACAATGTGTCGGAGAACTTATTACGAAAACAAAATTAACGGTCTTTCCTCTTATAGCATCTCTTACTCTCTCACTCTTTCTCATTCTTTCTGCCTTGAAAAATTGATAGACGAGAATACAAGACATTATCTTATCCACGGGGAAGGCGTTAAGATCATCTATCTGGTAGATTCATAATTCTTTTTTTTACTTTTTTCTTTCCCTTTTTTTTTTTTTGTTATTTTTGTTTTTTTTTTTTGCTTACACCCGCCGGGCCGGGTCGCGTCGAAGACGCAAAGAATTTGAAGTAATAATTCCTCGGTGCCGTTATGACAAGTGATAAGAATAAGAGAGTGCTGGTATACGGTTGAGCAATGATAACCCGAAGAAAATATACGAGGAATCACGAATAGCAACGGCACGCTTTTCTCCCATCCTCTCTCTCTTCCTCTTTCTATCTATATTCGTTGTATTCTTATGTTAGAACCAAGCATCTATATTTAAACTATCAATGGGAATTAGATTCCGAGTAATGGCGCCAAAATAGGAAGAATTTGTCAAATGAATTCACATTTATTTCTTTTTCTTACTCTGAGAAAACACATCTTCTTATCGTTGTAGTTCAAAAAAACCAACCAACCAACTGACCGACCTACCTAATATTTTTTTATGATCCTGTCAAGTATTAATTAGTCGAATAATAAGATAAGACCATTTAATCGCGAATAAATATGAAATGATTTCTTATATTTGGTCTGCATTTTTCCTTCCGACTATGAAATATAATTTACGTAACGTTAAATTAACAATTGACAATATTTCATTGCAAAATTAAAACGATGAATTAATAATATTTTGATAGATAATAGATTTACTCTATAGATATATTAAATATATAATTGATAATCGCTAAAAAGAATCTTATCGGTTACTAAAATGAAAAATCACATCGGGGGGAATAGAGAAATTAAATTAGATAGAAAACAAAATATCGGTGTGTTACTCGAAAGTCACCCAGGGTTATAATGGGTTAAAAATACGATTTCAATAACATTTTTCTCACTGATAAAAGACAAATGAACGATAATAAACTAAAATTCCGCCTTTATCAAATTTAAACGACATTAATGAATATATGTTGAATCATTAACGAAAGTGCATAATCGTAATCGTTTTTCTCTTTTTTTTTTTTTTAATCTAATTGTAAGTAAAGGAATAATAAACAAAAATTACAAATTTCCAAATGTGGCTCAAGATAATGATTTTGCGTGTTAAAAATTTATAATGTTATAAATTTAAAAATGATAAGAAAATTGATAAAATATCGGGGACAATATTTGTTCAAATTTAAATTCAACAAAAATAAAAAAAAACAAAATGCAATCTTACATAAATACAAATTTTATCGTTCATTTATATCTTTTTTTGCTTATTAATATTCTCTTAAAACGAAATGTAAATATATAAAACGATGCAATATTACGGAAGTATAGAAAATATATTTAAAAATATATAGTTAATTTTCTAGTCACACAAATGGTCTTGGTCTAATCGCAATGAACTTTTTATTTTTGTAAACGATTGTTTACTATTTAGAAATTGATCATGTCGTTTATGCGTGATCGCGGGCCGTAAACAAAATCTGTATCTATCATTCTCAAGGCGCGATACCGCGTACGTACATTTTCGTACGATTATCTAAGCGTATTGAAACAAACGACTCATTTATTAACACTTATAAACGCATTAGATTTGTTCTTTTTATTTTTATCTATTGTTATATTATTCGAAATATAACATTATCTTGCAAGCATCCTATTAAAATCATCAATATTATGTATTATTAATTAAGCCTCAAGGATTTTCTTAGGAATAATTATATAATATTAGCAAGAGACATTATATTGTTACGAAACTTGGAAAAATTTGATGCGATAACGTACTACGAGTAGTAGTATAATAAAAATAATATCTTCCCGTACAATAGTTTAAGCATGACTCGAAAAATGTGCCACGCGCAATGATATATTTTTACAATTTAACTAAAAAAATATGATTTTTTTCTTTTAGAGTAAAATAGATATCTCGCACGTTGCGTAACGATAGTAGTTATGTACTCCCAGCACTTTTATTTGGACAAATCATGGCCGTTTTTATTCTCCTACCCAAAGACAATCGAATAAACGAGTCTAATATGTTTAAACGCTGTATTATTTTTCAATATTTTCTTTTCAAACTTTCAAGTTAAATATTTCGAATACTTACGAATAGTCAAACTACGTGGATATACCTTACTTATTCATTTACAATATACATACAAGACTGTATTTTATTATTGCAATAATAAGGCACAAAAATCAGGTATCAGGATTAACCATTTCGCATTGCTGCAACAAGTGCCCTTGGATTTTCATCCTGTATTGCAGTCCTACATCGTGAAACTGCATTTGTAGCAGCTTTTCCAACTACAAGTAAAACAAATGTCTAACTAAATTATATATATATATATAATTTAACTAAACGTAATGAAGTGCTACGAGAAAGATCATTTGTACCCCTTAATTTAGCGACTCGCTGAACGCCGATATTCAATTCCTTCAAATGTGTTGAAAGATCTCGATTACTGTTCATTCTTATTTCGTGATTTCTAATTAGGTCACTGTTAATAGCTTTCAATTGTAATAATCTCTTTCTCATTTCTTCTACATTTTGCAATATTCGTGCATCTTCTAAACGAATGACAACACTTTTAAGAAGAACAGCGTTACTAGCAGCTTCCGCTTGAAGTTTCGCATCGACATCTTTTAAACCTGTAATGGATAAAAATAAATCTTAAATTGTGTTTATTTCGTCACCTTTGATTAGCTTCTGATGACCTCGATTCGTAATACACGAATTATTAAAAAGAAGTCTTAAAATAATAAGATATAACCTTTGACACATTCTAAAGCTTCCAGCATCTTACTTTCGTCGTTTGGAAATTTAGCTTCTGAAGTAAGCTCTCTAAGACCCAAATACATTGCTAAAGATTGAACTATATCACCGGCAAACGTCGAGTCTTCTGTAAGTATTGTTATTTTTCCAAAAGGATTTGCTGTTATACAATGAACTTTGTCATCTCTTAATCCACGGAGCCAAAGTTCAATCGATGCTGCATTTGGTCCTTCTTCCGCGACTTCTAATTCCTCTGCAAGTAGAAGACTTTGATTCAACCATAGTGCAATACGCTGTGCTCTCTCAGCAACCTACATAAATATCGTTCTTATTAATTAATCTTAAGATATGAATCATTTTATATAATAATCTTTAACAATTTACCTCTATAGTAATACCACTCTCTATTTCCATTTGAGAAATTTCTTTTGGATTTAAAATAATTTCGTACATACAAAATCTGGGTAATTGTCTTGTCATTTCAAAAACCTATAAGATAAAATAGTATATTAGTATAAAATACAAAAAAATATATATATATATATAAATATATTGTAAACGCGACAAATACTTGTAATAAATCTGCACCAGGTGGACCAACACTAATTTTTACATGAATATCAATAGGTCCATTTTTTGGAGGACGTAATTCAATTTCTAATTCACCTTGCGGCCTGCTTGGATGAGCTACAAGTGTTTCACCCTCAAATATACCTTCTGCAAATACTATGGCACAATGAACCTACGTAAAAAATGATAGGGTAATTGAAAGAATAATTGTATGATTTAAAAATTTAATATATATTACCAAAAGACCTGGTCCAGCTGCAACACCGAGACGAGCTGCACCTCTAGCTGATATTAAACTAACTGCCAACTTTGTATGATGATACATATTTGGTACTGATGCAGCTCTTTGTCGGAGTTCCATTTGCAATGCTTGTTTCTTAGACAATAATTCACGCATTCTTTCACCAGGTTCTGGAGCATCCATTGAAGTTCCAGAAGCATATCCACGCACTGTTAATATTATTCTCTATTATAATAAAGATTCAAAAGTGAATGGAATTAAATAAAATTTAAATACCTTCTCCTGAAGTAGATACAGCAACTAAATCTGGTCTACCTTGTCTTCTATAATCAGCTTCTACGATACCAGCTACACTAGTAGATAATTGTATTTTAAATATTACATCTCCAGTATTACATGATCTTGCATCAACTTTTCCACTACTCCATCCAGTAATGAGCTCTAATATACCATCTCCATTTATATCAAAACTTCGTATAGACACTGCTCTGTGTTTAGACTGAAAATAAAATAGATAAAATGAATTAATAAATCCATTGTAGATATTTTTTGATCTATACAATTCTTACTTTAACTCGCCAAAGTCTTTGACCAACTTCATAAACACCTATTGTTCCATTTCCAACTGCATATGCAAATTGTTTGTTTGAAAGCCCTGCTAATGCAGTTATCGATGCCGTTTCTTTCGTATCCCACACTATTGCATCTTCTTTCATTAATTTTATTTCGAAATCTTTGGTACCAATAAGCAACTACAAGTGTTACAAAATTAAATAGTTATAGTTTATGAAATAAAAAAGTTTATTGGAGATATATAAATATTAGTATATTATATACTTCATTTTCATGATCGCCTTCAAAATCAAATATTGCAATGGAAGTAACTATATCCCCCATCACTGTCCAAAATATTTCTTTTCCCTTAGAATCTAAAACAGTTATTGAACTATTTCCACCAACTACTGCTACTTGATCAGATAGCCATCCAAGTTTTCCTATCGTTATACACAGTGCACCGTCTGACATCTATTAAATAGCAGTTAGTAAAATATTTTCTATTAATTTATCCAATTAATCTAATTAAATATCTCGTAACTGTTTGATAAAAATACCTCTTTATAAAAAATATCAGCATTATCTTCTACATTATAAGCAAGAATATGTGTACCAGTTCCTATTAACAGAATATCTCTTTCATCTTCTCCAAGATGCCCAGTGCATATTGCTGTTACCTGAAGAAGTAGTCATTTCTCTCTCAATCATATATATTTTTTTTATTAAATATTATAAATTATGTCTGTTTTTTTTTTAATGTCGCACAACCTGACTACCAATTTGCAATTCAGCGAGTTCTCCACTCCAAGATAATCTTCCATCTGGTTGTTCAGAATCATTGTTCTTAATTTGAGGTTGTCTATGAGGACTGTGCACTAAAACATTTCCTCCAGAAGTTACAGCTACTAAGCAAGCATGAGAACCATCAAATTTTCCACTAGCTACAAGACTTAATTCAATATGTTTTTGGATATTTAATGAAAATGCAGCCATTTAAAAATATTATAAATCGGATATATAAAGATTTAAATAAATAACTCCTTATTACTGCTGCTGCTAGACATAGACTAACAGTGTATTGATTTCTTCTGCCATATTATATGATTCACCTCCTATGAACAAGTTTAGTTTGTAAATGATTCGTACCACAAGTAATCTTTACTTTCTTAGTAAAAAAAACTATTATGTTTTCATGATATTTTTTGCATTATGTAATTTATGCAAATCTTTTATAGTATATAACAGTTTTAAATATATTTTTTAATAATATACTCATATATTATATAATAAATTAAAAAACGAGTATATATATAATACAATTAAAATATAATAATAAAGCATACGATTTGTTATGCTTAAATATAATTTTACATTAATTTATGTATGATGTATAGCCTATCATAATGTATAATATATTTAAACTGTACACATTTATTAGAGCAGGAATATAATACAATAATAATTACAAGAAAACATACAGAAAACTCTCACGCATCAGTAAGACCAAAATTTAGGTCACAATACATTCGCAGGTACAATTAAGTAGTCTTAAAAAAGGAATCACTGTCTTTGACCACCACCACTACCACCTGCAGCTACTTCGGGATTTGTAGCTGATGTTAATAGAACAAAGATCAATGCAGGAACGAAATACATCCACTGAAATTTTAGAAAACAAAATAAATGAGAATTCCAATGTCATATATCTAAATCAAAATATATAAATCTTACATATTTTGCAAGGAATGATCTATTATCTTTAGTCTCTCCTCTTTCTCGAGCTTCACGTTCTCGTTCAAGTTTTTGAATATAAATTGCTGTATCTGGTACAGGCCCACTATCAGGATACCTGACTAATATATTTGTAGTCCACATATTTGTAGAAGGGCTGTTTAGAACACATGAACCAGAAGATGATAAACTTACTGATATTGGCTCTGCTGCACTATCTAGCCATACCATTAAAAAATCTTCAAGATCAGATCCGAGTAAATTACACTGCAATTTATAAATAAAAAATTTAAAAGTTATATTAAAAACTATGAAGTAAATCTCACATATCAAAGAAATATGTCGATGAAGACGAAAGAAAATACTATTATAATTATACCGCTGGTATGGAAGTTAAAAAAGTTGTTTCACTTCCAGAAGAAGTACGGGCTACTGCTTTCAATCTATACTTTCCATCGTTTTTAGCTAGATCTTTTAATTGATTAATTTGTGCTTGTAAAAGTCCATTTTGTCCTACAATTGAATCTCCACTACGTACACTTGTAATTGTTACATTTCCTCTTTCCACAAAATTTGGTACTGGTTCATCATTGAACGCATGCCATAATCTCAACTGAATTCGACCATCAACATCAAGTTCGATCTACAATTAAAATGATTATTATTCCGTTATTTTATATCCTAATGTTTCTGTGAATTTAATGAAAAATAATAGATTATACTGACCCCATACGTAAATGATGATATTCCTAGAAGTAGACTAAAGATAGCATATGACAGATACATGATGTATACTTGTTTATCGACTTAATAGAATTTTAAATTAAATAATGGGAAAAAATCATGAAAAATAATAAAACAATCAGAGAATCAAATATGGATGAATTTCATTGTATGTCAAGAATTTTTGGTTTATAAAAATTTGTCTATGTCTAGCATACTTAACAATGCAGGGAGATTATAATATAATTGTTAAATACTAGTCAGGTTTGCCAAGCCTAACATTTGGTTCACTCAAGCCCGATTTACACAACTAATATTATTTGATGCTTACGCGTAATTATTATGCATACTATTTTTGCAAGATCATGCAAATATTAAAGACATTAATAATTATTCGGGATAAATTGATACGAACCTGTTTTTATTACTATAATAAAATAAAAACTATAAAACAAGGGCTGTTTTCAAAGAACTTTCTTAAATTTCCCCTATATGTGATACGCAATCTGATTGGTTTAGATTAAAAACGGATTAATAAGAAGATATCATCTTTTTTGTCTTTATGAATTGAATCCGTTTAAAAATATATGAAGAAGCTTTATAAAACATTATTTTAATAGGAGTTTTTTTTTGATAAATAAAATAATTATATATTATATTTATGATTATAATTATGAGTCCAGGATGTTGCATAAATTCTAAATCGTGACAACGTTGCAATTTGACTCCCTTCGTACAAAATGGTCGCCGGTTCTCTTCCCGAATGCTCTGATTCGCCACGTGGACAAAGAACAAAGGAGGTCTTACTACTTTGAGAATTTCAGGAGAAATTGTCGATTAAGTTACAATATTGGTAAAAACGAAAGCTCTTTTTAATCTATTAATCGATAATATTGAATAAATAGTTAAGAATAATTAATAATATCAGAAAAATTTATTTTAATATTCGGATAACCTTAAACCATCATGACCGTTGAATACTTAGTCACTACTTCCTAGCCATTTAAATAAAAGTTTCATTTCTCTATTAGTATAACAATATTCATAATATAAATTGTTATAAATATTTGTAAATCAATTATTTTTCATTTAAATATATTTTTATATCATATTAAAACAAAAAAAAAAAGAATTTCTATTAATGATGAAATATTGATTTTATATGATTTGTTCTTGTTTCTCAATGTAGATACTTTAAGTTACTTAAAAAACTAAAAAATGGGTAAAGAAAAGGTTCATATTAATATCGTCGTCATCGGACACGTAGATTCCGGGAAATCAACTACCACTGGACATTTGATTTACAAATGCGGTGGTATCGATAAACGTACCATTGAGAAATTTGAGAAGGAGGCCCAAGAAGTAAGTTCATTATTCTGTTATTAATTATTATGGTAAAATAAAATGATAAACTCTTCTATTAATTTCCACAGGATTTTAAATTTAAACTATTATTAATAATAGTTTGTGTTTAAGCATTAAAGTTCACATATTTTTGCATAATATTTTAGCATTGTATATAGAATTATCAATTCTTGTTATTTTTAAGGTAATATATTTTATATATTTATTTTTAAAAATTTTAGATGGGTAAAGGATCCTTCAAGTATGCCTGGGTTTTGGATAAGTTGAAAGCAGAACGTGAACGCGGTATTACTATCGATATTGCTCTTTGGAAATTTGAAACCGCCAAATATTATGTCACAATTATTGATGCACCTGGACACAGAGATTTTATTAAAAACATGATCACTGGCACTTCTCAAGCCGATTGTGCTGTATTGATTGTTGCTGCTGGTACTGGAGAGTTTGAAGCTGGTATTTCCAAGAATGGACAAACTCGTGAGCATGCTTTGCTTGCTTTTACTCTTGGAGTAAAACAACTCATTGTTGGTGTCAACAAAATGGACTCTACTGAACCCCCATATTCTGAGACCCGTTTCGAAGAAATTAAGAAAGAAGTATCATCTTATATCAAGAAAATTGGTTACAATCCAGCTGCTGTTGCATTTGTACCAATTTCTGGTTGGCATGGAGATAACATGTTAGAGGCATCGAGCAAGATGTCTTGGTTTAAGGCATGGCAAATCGAGCGTAAGGAAGGTAAAGCAGAAGGAAAATGTCTTATTGAAGCTCTTGATGCTATTCTCCCACCATCCAGACCAACTGACAAGCCACTCCGTCTTCCACTTCAAGTAATTATTTACCTAATAAACCTATCTGATATAAAAATGTAAAATTTCTCTCTTAATGATTTATATAATGTTATTTTTATAGGATGTGTATAAGATTGGTGGTATTGGAACGGTACCTGTTGGTCGTGTTGAAACGGGTGTACTGAAACCAGGTATGGTTGTTACGTTTGCCCCCGCAGGTTTGACCACTGAAGTAAAGTCAGTGGAGATGCATCACGAAGCTTTACCAGAAGCTGTTCCTGGTGACAACGTAGGCTTCAATGTGAAAAACGTATCTGTCAAAGAATTGCGTCGTGGTTTCGTTGCTGGCGACTCTAAGAGTAATCCACCTAAGGGAGCTGCTGATTTTACTGCTCAGGTACAATTACTCTTTTGTGTTTAACTCTTTGAAATTAAGATTAAAATAAAATTTATTTCAGCAATAAATATTAATAATAAATATTTAATATGTTCCATAGGTTATTGTACTAAATCATCCAGGACAAATTAGCAATGGTTATACACCAGTATTAGATTGTCACACTGCTCATATTGCCTGCAAATTTGCTGAAATAAAGGAGAAATGCGACCGTCGTACTGGCAAGACTACCGAAGAAAATCCAAAATCGATTAAATCTGGAGATGCTGCTATCGTTAATCTCGTCCCAAGCAAGCCAATGTGCGTCGAATCTTTCCAAGAATTCCCACCATTGGGACGTTTTGCTGTTCGTGATATGCGTCAAACGGTAGCAGTCGGTGTAATCAAGGCTGTTAATTTCAAGGATGCTAGTGGTGGAAAAGTCACCAAGGCTGCCGAAAAAGCTCAGAAGAAGAAATAACTATTTTCCGTATATGTTCATTGCCGAATTTATCTGGCTATAACAACTGAAACAGTTTGCATTATTTCTTCATGTCTTTCATATAAGCTAAAATCTTCTGAATTGTTGTTTTTATCATTATCACTTTTCGTTATAAAAATCTTGTTTACAAATTTGTATTCTACAAAAAATAACAAGATCAACTTTTATTATTTTAGACATGATAATAGCCTATTTATCCAAGTTTTTCAACGTACGTCGATCTTATTAAGACTATTATTTCGTAACTTGTTTCATCGAAAAGAATTTCGCAGGGCAGACAACAAATCGATAATTTGTCGTCAACGATGACTAGAACAACTCTCTTATATGAAATATATGAAGCAAAAATAAACTACTGAGTATAACACCTATTATTTCATGACTCTCAACACGAATGAAATAATAATTTAGCTCGGCTTAATTATATTTTTTTAATTATTATACGGAAATAATAAATTCTCCATCTGCGACATATATATATACATATATACCATTCTTTTACAAATCTTTTTTACCTTCATTTTATTATAACATTATAATAGACAAAAGTAATCTTTTAATTAAATTAATCCAATATTTTTATGATTGAAAAATTAACAAGAAAACCAATACTTTTGATGCAAGATGAACTATGAACTATGCAGTTCATAGTGAACAGGGGGCAGCACTCTTAGAAATATGGCTTCGTTTATGTATGGTGTTTCAAAGTTTCTAAATATATTTCCACAAAACTCTAAATTTTTAGGACATGATGTGAGTACCATTAAAAAACTTAATAATTTTTTAACACGTCTATATATATAAATAATAAGTCTTGGCGAAATTTAATATTGAATGATTATTTTTATCAATGAAGTATTTTAACCTCTTACACATTTATATTTAATTAATATATTACATAACTAATTATCTCTCTTCTTGTGAATATATTATAATATTATAACATTTATATTTTAGTTTCAGCAAATACGCAACTATATTGGTTGTAGAATGAGACGCGATGCTAAACGTAGAGAATTAGCAGGACAATATGCACCTGAAAGATTAAGATTAGTTGCAATTAAGAGGAATAATATTTTACCCGTTGAAGTTAGAGTAATTAAATTGATTTTTCTAGATTCATTTATATATCCTCTTTAGTTTATATAGAGTTTTATAATGTATATTTTATTTATTTAAGGATCTTGCTGAGCGACAGATACAAGAAACGATTCCTAGACAATCTGCTTTAAGACAATTGAGTCTTCGTTGTGTAGTAACTTCACGACCCCGAGGAGTTGTACACAGATGGAGATTATCAAGAATAGTATTCCGTGATTTAGCAGATTATAATAAGTTAGCTGGTGTACAACGAGCTATGTGGTAGTAAACGAAATATAGTTTAATGATACAGAATATATTCGTTCTTTATTTCTTGTCTTTTGTGTATATACTATAATATTATATTATAATATGTATATATATGTATAAATTTAATTGTAAAAGAAATGATATATATATATATATATATATATATATATGAAAAAATCTTGAGATTAATTATAAAAGTTAATAATAAAAAATAATATTTATTATTATTTTTTATTTTTATTTTGTCACACGTGACAGATGGCGCGCAAGTTCAAGTAATAACAAAATCAGCTGTTCCCCAATGGCGGCTTCACTATTTATAGTTAAATAGTGGGGGGTTTACCGCTTCGTCGTTATAAATTGTACTTTATAACCGTTAAATTTATATTTTATACCGTATGTATTTTCTAAGCAATACAAAATTTAGTGATATCGTTCATTTATTTTTACGAATGCTATATCATTTTATTTTATCGATCACAAAGTATTTTTTTAGTTTCACATTTCTACAAACATTTGTATTTAATTAACAAGATACGAAAACATTTTATTTGATTTCTTTTGCAGTTTTTAGCAGTTTCAGAAAAAAGAAAGTAATAGTAAGAGTGATACACGATGAATGATTCATTTTTAGAAGATTTAGATTTATTGCCAAGCGAGAAAAGAAGTTCTGTAGAAAGTTCAATAGATCGACATGTAACTATTAGACACACAACGTCTTCCCCTTTACAACGTTCATCGGAACAAGATGATTTTGAAAAGCTTATAGTACAACAAAAAACTGAAAGTGTCTCGACTAAGGTATCAAAATTGCCACAGATTCGGGAATCTAATAAAAAAGAATTACCTAACAGAGATGTCAAAAATGTAACTGAACATGACATACGAAAACAAATGGTTAAAGTTAAATCCTCAGAGAGAAAAGAAAAAGTTGTTGAAAATAAATTAAAGTCAATGGAAAATAAATATAAATCGGACTGTAAAGAAAAAGATATTAAGCAAGAAACAAAAGTTAAAACATCAGATAATAAGATTATTATCAAAGATTATAATCGTCGGTCTGGTAGTTATAAAGATAATACTCGTTCCTTGGATAGTTCCAGTAAAGAAAACAGTCGTCCATCAGATCCTTCGAAAGTAATCACTCCTCACGTGGACATAACGAAGGAAAGAGGAGGACGTGCGTGTGAAGGTTCTGCAAAGAAATCAGAGACAAAGGAATATGATCCAGTTATATTACTTAATGCAATTAAAGATCTTATAAGCACTTATACCAAACAAGAAAGCACAAAGTTATTAAGAGCAATGCAAGAGATTCATATACATTCACAAAAAACTTATATCAAAAGTATGTTGTCGCAAACCGATGAGATAATTAAAGAAATACATCCTACTAGAGATTCAACTCGTATGAAAGCTCTAATAGAAGAAAATGAACAGTTACAAGAGGATTTAATTATTTTACAAAAACGTTATAATGACTTACTTAAGAAATTAAGTGATTTAGAGCTTCTTAAAGAGGAAAACACGGCTTTGAAATTGAAATGTAAAGAATTATCTATGGAACAACAATGAATATTGAAACAAACTTTCAGGCTTCACAAAAGAAATGTCATTTAACAATTATATAACTTTATAACTAATCTATGCTTTGCCAATGAATTGTTAACAAATCTTTGCCAAATGGTGATATTCTAAACTTTTAATTGTTAATTTGTAAGTAGGAGTATATATTTGAAGTTATCTATAACAAATGGAATAAACTGTGCCTATTCATAGGATATTAACTCAATTGTTAATCGTAGAATTAGGTATATTATCACAAAAATAATTTATTTTAATATCATTCCATTACTTACTTATAATGTAATCCATTGTTAGCAGTCACATTTATGCATTATTATCTTACTAAATAAATATACAAGCATTATATTGTTAAATCAATATACTATGTATAATGTTGCTTTGCGCACAAGACCAATGATAATGCATTAAAAATATGTTGAATAAATTCTGCATAAATATTTATTAATTACAATGTGTATGCAATCATTTAATAAAGATTTTTATTCTTGCTGGGCTGTTATATTAATACTTATAAAATGCTATCAAGCATATATATTTTATATATACATAGTATTATATTATTACCTAGAAATATTAAGCATAATGAAAATTATAAAATTATTTATGAAAAAGTATTTTTAAATGCATAACTCATGATAGAATTCATATTAACAATTCAACATGTTTTCTTAATGAATGATATATTCATTAATAAATAATAAAATCTGTAGATCTATTTGTACAATTACGAAGAGAAATTCCTAGCGAATTTGTATAGGCCATTTCTGAATTAATCATCAAACATTTTCCATATTTGATTCGTGTGTCAGTTCCTTTTTACATTTGTAAACATTTATATGTATTGTTTCTTTCATTTTTGCACGATTCCATAAATAAAACACATAATGTATATACCACATTTTCTTTATAATTTAAATCTAAAAGCAATCGTCATTTTTAGTAAAAATTTGCATACCGAAGGCATCACATTCCTTATTTATAAGCCACTTATAAATTGCATCATTATTAGAAGCATGTTTCTGCAGTTTTATATAAGTGAAGAAGAGTATTTTTGTCTTCACCATTTCTTGCTGATAAGAAAAAAGTTTTTCTTGATATAGAACTGTTTTTTTCTTTAGCTATATATGTGTAAGTAATGATTCTTGAAGTATATCGTGAAATATACTCGAAGCTGACTTTTCTGTTTGATCAACAGCATTGATTTTTGTTTTATAAAATGAACACACTATATATACCATCATGTTCCTTCATTCTTATGTCATCAGATAATCAACATTATTTTGAATAATTCAATCGCGATGAGGTCTTTCACGTAATTCTCTTCCTTCTACTTCTTCGTTACCGTCTTCTTCATCTTGATCTTCATTGTCAGTACGTTCTCCTTCTTCCGGTGGTCTCGTCCACCTATAAAGAAATTAATTATATAAGATTACAAATACAAAAGACTATACATTGTAAATGTATTTTAGTTAAATTAAATCTTATAATAGATTTTAACCTGATAAGCGTTTCTGGAGATCTATACAAGAATATGAGTTTTGCAAACAAATCTTCCTCCAAACATAAGTCACCACTTTCGCGTACCAAATATATATCTAAACATAATCGAAGAATTCTGTCGACATACGGCAGATCATCGAACATTATCTTTGGCGCCATGTCGCTTACTATTTTGCGCATCATTTGACTTATCACAATTACAGCAGTAGTATACAAGCCTAAAATTCTGATGGAAACGAAATAAAAATCATTAAAAGATTATAGGAGCATATGACACATGATCATTTAATATATTTATAATTATATTCTTTGTCTTATATCATTTTGCCTTACCCAAATCCACTGATGAAGCTCAATCCTTCTGGGAATGCTTTATCATTGAACAGAAACATCATAATATATTTGCAATTATTCAATGGTATATTTTGTAACAAGTCTAAATAAAGACGATCATCGCAAACTTCTTGTACGATCCACCATTGCTGATGTGCACAACATTGTCGGTCAATAGATAATTGAAGACTTATATTTCTAAATAGATAATCATCGGTAGGCGTACTATCTTCTTCTTTATAAGTAAATGCTGAAATTCATTTATAATTGATCATTTGTATTCTATTTGGAAATACTTTTAATTGATATGACATCTATTTATAATAAATCTTACATTGTGAGCTTGGTAATTTCATCAATTGTGGTACGTAATCGGTAGCTTTACTGGTAACTTTGAGGAATTTTGGAAATGAAAATGGTATGATTATTGTAGCGTTAGATGAATTCACACTGTCTACAGACAGCATGTCTGCTAATGTCTTTCTCGTTGGATTAAATTCTCCATTAATAAATGCTGGTAATGGTACATCACGATGACTGGTTGATATACCAGTCGAATCTTTCACATTTGTTTTTCTACAAACTGTCCATTCAATATGAACAAAAACGTCTGCGTCAGATTTTAATTCCATCATTAGTCTATGAAAAAAAAAAAGCCTTAATATAATAAACCGTTGAAAGATCCTTATTGATTGTGATTTTTAAATTAAATAAATAAAAGATTAAATGAGAAATGAATAAATTTAATCGAGAACGAACTTTTCTTTGTCGGGAGGTGAAATGTCCCATAATTTTCTGGAGAAACCCCAAAGTTTAATAACTGCTACATCTGTATTAAAATAATTTTCTAAGAAGGTAACAGCTTCTTTATCTCGAGTATACAAATCAGTAAGATTTTTAAATTCTTCTTCACTGTATTCAATGATTGAACTGGTCTGAGCAGTCATAGAATAAATTGGTTCGTATGGTCCTATACCTATCTTCATCGATACTTCATAAGGTAAATTCGAAACTCCAACTGTTCCGCCAAGAGCGAACAATAATAATGGGAACCATATAAGACCTATTATAACACAAAGTGCACCTCCACCAACGAGATATTTGCTCATTTGTTTCTTTTTTTCTCCTCGCGGTTGTGGAAAATCTGTTTCCACTCCACGCATACACTACAATTCAATAAAATGTTAGAGTCAAATTTTCTAAACAAGTTTTACAATCTTTGATTTATGATGCATTCATTTAGGAAATACCTTGATTTGATAAATACTGGCGAAAATATCTTCCATTTTGAACCAATCCATTATTGTCATTGAAGTATCAGTCCAAATCCAATCCATGACAGCTCGTAATTCAAACAAGAATGGAACTAACATGAATCTGTATGCAAACAATAACATTTCATTAGATCAATGTATGAAAAAGAAAATGGAATTAAAAAAAAATATATTCACCCTTTGAATAAGACGTAATTTACAATACTGTATTTTTTGCATAAGAAATTTCCAAGTATGCGGGTTGGATATCCTTGGCGCAATTGATATGCTGCAAGTAACAAATAAAAACACTTCATCATGTACCAGATCTGTGGCGGTAGTCGGTCATTAAATTGTCTGCAATATTAGAAAGATAATATAATAATATTAAAAAAATTTCCAACAAATTATATGGAATAACATCTTGATTAGTAGATATATTTATTACCTTTCTGTAACACTCGGTAATATGAAGAACATCCACATGTGAACTCCAAATATCAGAAAATATTGAAAGATTAATTTTCCGACAATGGATTTTCTTAAAAATAAAGCTCTATCGATAACTATCAACGCGAATTGAAGTAATAACATTAATAGGAAAGGCATTGGCACTCGGTTTTCTTGCAAATAAGCTGTCACTCCTCCATCGCCTTGTTGTGTCTGTAAAAAACAAATTGATATGACTGACGAAATTAGGAAACGTTATTAAAAAAGAGAACCATTTATCACTTACACCAAATGCAGAAAATCCAAAAATTAATAGAATGAAATTAAAGAAATCACATAGGAACATGTATGCATAGACATTTGTCTTCTCTTTGCCAACAGGACTAAGAATTCTAGTAAAGAATTCCTTTGTAGGTTCAAGATATTTATTAACCCTGAAATTATTTTCATGAATCTAGCTTAAATCGATCGAATTATTTTATGTATCTCTGATCCTTTTACAAAACTAACTCACGTCATATTCATGGCAGTTGAAATGTTTTCACTGTGAGGATGCACTTCTTCACTTTGAACAATTACTAGTTTCTCATTTTCATCTAACGTTGGTGCGTTATTTTGCGAATTTGTTGCTACCTTAATACTTAAGTTTCTACCTTTTGGTGTTTTAATATCAATATGTGATCTATATGAACAAACATTACCAATTCGATAAACAAGAGGAAAGAAATAGAGAAAATTTGATTTATAGATTTAATTATTAAAATCAACATACTCTGTAGTTCCTTGCTGCCAAGGATGCGTTATTGTTTCTTCCGTTTGGGCGTCTCCAGAAGAAGGATCAGCAATTCTAGAAGTAATCACTGTCATTTGAGAAGGAATGATCTTTCTTGGTTTTATCGATGGTGTAGTCCACTGGCCCAATGATTTCAGCATTAATCTACATTCGAATATTTATAATTTAAACATTAATTTCAATGTTCTTCACATGAAATTATGAGTATTCCTCATGTATTATATATATATTTTATAGAAAATAAAGTAAAAGTACCTATGGAAGAAAACCATAAGTAATAATAATAAATCCCATAGGGCATAATTTGGTTGTCTTTCAACGCCAATGATTCTTGGTCCGAAAAGTGGATGACTAGACGTTGCTATTTGATTCCAAGGAATGAAATCCAATTGGAAAATGCATTTCATAATGACGATTGCCTATAATAAGCGTGAAATTTATTCAACAAATTATTAATATGCGCATACAACAACATTGTTATAGAAATTTGATACTTTGTAGAAATTCTTACTTCTGTATAAGCGATTAAAGTCACCCAAAATGTTTTCGAAGGCCGGGGGATCGTGAGAGAACCCCAACAAAACACCATCAGAGGTAATGGTGTAGAAATAACAGAGGCATTTTTAATTTGATGAAGAAATACCATGAAATAACACAACAAGCTTGAATGTGCCAAAATTCCAAACCATATTGACGCTGCCAATTGAATTATCGGTGGTTGATCAAATTCGGATAATTCTGCAACCTCTTCTTCGACTTGAATTTGTGACATTTGCGAGAAAATCGTGCTGCGTACAAAAAATATTTGAATTAGAGATGTGAATTCAAATTTAACATTATTTTTTAATACAAATTTGCAGAAAATAAATGTATGGACCTTTTGTTATATTTTCTGCAAATCATTAATATATTAAAAGCAGATTTAAAGCTTAGCTCGAGAACGTTAAAAACGAAAGCTGTAAAAATTGGGCTAACTAATAAATTGATATGAATCGTAGAAAATATATATATATATGTATCAAATGATAATAAAAAATGTATATAATAAATCTGCTTTTAAAATACAATTAGTTCGTTGTTCCAACAGGATACATCAACGAAAATCATGAAATTGTATATGAAATATTGGCATATAAAACGTAGACAAATAGTTGTGATTAATGCTGAATGTGAATATTGTGCTGATAAATGCGTGCAATAGTGTATAAAATTAATCACTACTATGCAAATAATGCATTCAATGAAAATATACAACACAATCTCGATACCTGGAGGAGGACTTGTCCAATCCTCGCTCCAAACTTGGGGCCAGGATTCGAATATGAGGTACTGTCAGCGTGCTTTCCTTCCTAGCAGAAATAACACCACTCTTTCTACGTTTATTTTAGATTAGATTATCTAATAGATCTAATAATACATATTTTTTAGAACAATATTAGGAATGTTAAGGACAGGAATAGAATGTTGGGATTAAACTTACGTCGAGGGGGTCAATTTGGATATAGAATTTTGCTTATTGTGTTGTTGAAACCACGTCAATGATTTCCTATTAGTCAAAAGACAATACATTGTAAATAAATGAACATAATATATTTTTAAAAAGGAACATCTTCCGTATATAGGATTAAGAGATTCTTTTAATTACACACATACACACATTTTTATACTACTCTAGAAAATCTTGATTAAAATATCAAAGCACTTACCTTTCAATTTCAGAACGTTGCTGACTAGGACCTTCACCAGGATCAGAAGTTCCTCCTGTATCTTCATTAGTTGATGATCTGTCAGAGCGAGCACATTTACTACTAGCTTCTACAGTATACATTCATATACAATATGTTTAAGAGCAAAGAAGAAAATAACAAAAAAAGAGCTACAACTTAGTTCATACAAATACCAATACTGTATATTACTAATCTTTAATACTACTATATTTGTAGCAATTTTCTAAACTAATAAATTTAAGTAATCATCCTTTTATTTACCGTAGAACTACGTTACTAATCTACGAACATACTCTTTAAAAAGCCAACTAGAAGAAGAAGAAAAAGAAGGGGTACTTTCCGAGGACATTTAAATCAAATCGAATTTCAAATACATACAGTAGCGTGAAATAGCATAATATTTCTGTACGTATACATATCTAAAATATTTCTATACCTACACGAATACAGTACGTAGCAAAATTTAACAATAGAAGAAATGTATTCTTACTTTTCTTGTACCAATGGTATCGGTTGCCACATTTGATTAATTCCTAATCTGAAACCCATTTTGAAATCTGGTTTTCCCTGTTAATGTTAAAAACAAACGTTATTTTATTTAGTACAAAAGTAATTAATGTATATATTATTATAAAATATTGACAGAGACGGCTCGTATACACTGTATTTGTATTGTCTTTGCATATATTTTAAAAGTTGAAATACTTTAATGATTTATTTCAAGCTACGAACCGCCACTGAATATAAATGCAATACAACATACCTTTAATATTTTCTTTTCTTTTGCTAAAACCTTACGGATGTATCTATAATCTCGAGAAAATCGATTGAGATACTTGGTCATTGAGATCAGAGTACTATTCACCATTACCCATAAGAATTGGAAATATGTAGAAATGGAAACTTTTTTTTCTTCCCCATCTTCGGTACTCTTTTCCTCTGTTTTTTCTTCCGCTCGTTCATCGTCAGAAATAGGTGGTGTTTTTGCTAAATCCACCGCTGCTAATTCTTTTTCTTCCGACTCAATTTCGGCGGATGTAAAACTTGCACGATCGGCACCCTGATATTTTCAAAATAAATACCAAAAATTAATCTCCTATATAAATGTATAAGTTTATATATATATACAGTGATATTGAAAACGATCATACGATCAATTTTTAGAATTAAATTAATATTTTACTATTCAGGATAATTATGAAAGTGGTCTCTAAGTCCAAATTTAAAAACTAATTAATTTATTAATTATTTCACATCACTCGTTATTTTAAATTAAATTAATTCATTTGTCAAAAATGAACCAATAAATGATAGTATTCGTTATTACAATATTATATAGAATTCATTTAATGTTCAAATGTAATACTTTGAATATTTTGAAACATAAGAGATATATAACTCAGATCACTTTCATAATAATGGGCACAAATAATTAAAAGTCTATTTTATCAAATTGATAGAATTGATCGTTTACAAAATCTAGCAAAAATATAGACGTTGAATATTCGTTATTAACGATTATTGTTAAATAACAAGAAGCTTATGTGATTGCAGGCCCTAGACTGTAAAAAACAATAAATAAAGATAGTAAGCGCAATATATATATCGAGCGGTTTTTCTTTTTTTACATATATATGATATAAAATATATATATATCAGCGTTGAGAAGAGAGCCTTGCTATAAATTTGTATCTACTAACATTGAGAAAATAATTACGGAAGACGATATAGTAATCGGATGTAATACAAATAAGAGCACCGTAGGTAGTATATACACCTTCGCCATCATTTTGATAAAGCTGATTAAAGCGCGTGAGAACAAAAAAATATACCTGGTGGAAAGAAAGCGATCGGATTTTACAAAGAATTATATTTTATATATATATATATCTACTGTTAAAAAAATTGTGTTAAAACTATTTGTAATTTTAGTTAAATAATTCTATTGCAATTATAATATAATCTAACATATATGTATATATATATTTAGCTAGCTTTAAATATGTCAAATTACGATTGAATATTTGTCTATAAATAAGAGAGAAAATGAAGTAGTACACAGATTATACTGAAAGAAGAGACATAGGTGTAAGTATGTGTATAATAGGATTAAATAGAGCATTGCAGAGACTGAAGCGTATAATAGATTATAAGCTAATTTGTATTTCGTGCTGTCGCGAGCTTTAAAAAGACTGCCTGCGGCTTTCGTTCAAATCTTTACGAAATGAATCATCATCGCGTAATTAAAGAGATAACAAAGTTAACAAAGTTTGCAATTGAAAAAAAAACAAACAAAAAAGCGACAGAGTTTTAATTCCACATATTATACTGATAATAATTCTAAAAAAAAAAAAAAAAAACAAAAAAATATAGTCAGCAAAAAATCAGTAGCGATACAATAATGGCGAAAAAACAGGAAGAAATTTGCGGCTGCAGCAACTGCGGCGATGAAGGCAACAAGAATTGTGGCTCACACAATTAGGATAATTTAAAAAACAAAAAAAAATATATATATATATGTACAACAAAAAGGAAGTAGAGAAGAGTTAGAGCAGAGAGTAGTCATGCATCCTTTTTTTTTTTATAGAATCTTAGAATTTTTTTCTGTTTTTTTTTTTTTTTAATTATACGTAATTGTTTTCTTTTGTTCTTTTTTCTTTTTTTTTTTTTTTGTAAAGGGGATCTCACGTCGGTTGCCACGGCAGTCTCGGTCTCGGATCGCGCACTCAGATAGGACATGGACGATTTCTTCCGCGTCAGCGGTACGCTCCTACGGC